AGCCACCTGAGAGCGCTCACTAAGGGCAGCTGTGTCAGCAGTGTCAGAGGTCCACTGGTGATCCCCGATTGATCCTAGGGAAGGGTTACATGCATGTTGGCCTGGGGGGTTATGGGCACACTGACCCGCTACTTAACAAGCCCTTTTAATCCCAATGGTCTAGTGGTTGGGATTCTGACAAGCAGGAGCGGCTAGGGCCCTGGAGGTATGGTCGAAGAGCAAGACCTCGTCTTTGCTAGTGCTCATGAGGTAGAGCTGCAAGTCGTCTAGCCAGGAGTCGAACTCTACAGGGCGGCCCTCGGTGTCGAAAGAAAGAACTCGAAGGGTGGCCATAATGCTAGGTGGTGACGAGCAGCAGGAGCAGTGCGCAAGCAGGACGCTCGACAGGCAAACAGGGCGCAAGCAGGGCGTGCGGCAGGAGGGCGCTAGCACAGGTAGGGGGCGCGTCTGCTGGCAGCGCGTCAGGCGGGGCGTGCGGCAGTGGGCAGCGCACAGGCAGGGCGTGCGTCCGCGGGCGGCGCGTCAGGCAGGGCGTGCGGCAGCAGGCACCGCGCAGGCGACGCGCGCGTCAGCGGGCGGGGCGGCAGGAGGGCGCGTGACGCGGCAGTAGGGGGCGCAAGGCGGCAGCAGGGGGCGCGACGCGGCAGCAGGGGGCACGACGCGGCAGCACGGGGCGCGACGCGGCAGCAGGGCGCGCGATGCCGCATCAGGGCGCCCGATGCGGCAGCAGGGCGCCCGACGCGGGGCAGCAGGGCGCGCGACGCGGCAGCAGGGCACGCGAAGCGGCAGCAAGGCGCGACGCGACAAGAGGGCGTGCGTGGGGCGACAACAGAACGCGCGACGCGAAAAAAAAAAAAAAAAAACAAAACAAAAACAAAAACAAAAAAACAAAAACAAAAAAAAGGCACCGCGCGGGCAGGCACATGCAGGAAGGACATATCAGTACGGTGGGCCCACAAAATTAGGTCCTAGGGACCTCCTACTCTGAAACCATGTCAAACAGGTAGACTAGGAATGAGTGACTAGAGAAATGAGTTGGGTACAAAAAATGTGAAACCGTAAACTAATGTACCCCCTATTGTCAACCCCACTACAGCCTAGACATTAGCCTAAGCCATATATCTTTGACACACGCCAACCTTTCGACTTCCGTGTTTGTCGCTTTAGTTTTCGCAACTGCCGTTTCCGATGTGATTTCCTCTCCTTCTTCCACCGCATGTGGTCCTGTGTCCGCAGGGTTCATGGTCGAGGCGACGGGTACAGTAAGAGCACAGAAGGTTCCATCGAGGTCGGATCGTTGATAATCAGTCTCTTCTGGATGGCTCCATCTTGGTGGTGACGGGTGGCCGGGTGGATCAAGGACGAGGATGTGATGGTTGTCGCCAGAGGTCTTGGGTGACTCGAAGTCGAGCACGAATACACCTTCTACGCTTGTCGCTTTTCCGATGAAAATTACGTCATATTTTTAATGAAGTTCGTTTTCTGTTGTTTGCAGGCCGACTTCACACTTCATCAGCTGGTCGTGGGATCGAAGGTTATACTGAAGCTCGGGCATGACGAGGACGTTGCTGATGTGGATGCAGTAGCCGGTGTCGTGAGATTCCAACTATATCTATCCGCGGTTCCTCGCCTAAATGGTTTGGCTGTTGGCGAGGTGATTTCAACCGTCTTGAAGAGCTCTTCACTGTTGAGAATGAAGATGCTCGACGACACCATGTGTTGGCTGCAACAACTGTCCAGGTACCATTTATTGATCTCCTTTTTTGCCTTGGCGAGGTTTGCGAGCTTCGGTGTGATATGATGCTCCACGTTGTGTTCCCTCTCATAATCGTAGTAACACCCTTCTTCGGCGTGTGCGATGCGTGCAGGTGGCGATTCTTGGATCCACTGCGGCGCTTCCCAATCATACTACATCCGACCGACTGTTAGCTCGTCGTAGGTCAAGTCATTCTCTTCTTCATCTTCAAACGAACCTTCGGGCCGCTCTTGAGGTGGGTCTACGAACATGTCCTCCTAGCTGTGGAAGAAGCGGTAGTGTCGGTTTGGGCGAGGCGGTACCCGCCGCACCATGCAGGTTAATACCTCGCTTTTGCCTTTGTCGTTTGTGTGCGCAGGGATATACAGCGGAGCTTGAGATGTGCTGGCGATGGCTGGTGGTGACACTGTCTGATTGTGTGCTGGAGCTCCTCCTTGCTGGTGCATTACGTCACCCTTTTGGTTGTTGTTGTTGCCGTTCAGCTTCCAGCACACTTGAATTGTATGTCCTGTCTTCTTGCAGTACTTGCAGAAGAGCATTTTCTTGTCCGGTGACACTTGCACGTAAAAGGCGATTTTCTCCTTCTTGTTGCCTCTTTCGTTGTACAGATCGATCTCCTGTTGCTCGGCAAGAAGCGAGGCATAGAGGGAGGTTTCGCTGAGGGTTCCTTGAGTGCGAAGGAGCGACTTGCAGTAGCGCCAATCCGCGCTCAGTCCAGCAAGGATGATAGTGACGAACATATCATCAGGGAAGTTACCGCCGATTTTCCTGGATTGATCTCTTAAGTTTATTCAGCGATTGATGTACAGTCCGGCCTTTTCGCTGGGGAACATTTTGACGTTGTTCAGCTAGTTGAGCAGGCGACTAAGTGTCACCGAGTCCGTTGCCATGTGGCAGATGCGCAGGTGTTCCCAGGATTTTGCGCAGGTGCACACTTGTTCTTGAAGGGGCGAATGCTCAGCTGTTCTTCAGGCGACAGGTTCCGGATCAAGACGGTGAAGGCCAGCAGCGATTCGTTGTAGTACTGTGTTTTCTCCTGATGTGAGCCGTTAGTCGAAAATGCGTACGACCCATCGTAGTACATCCAAATATGTGCGCCTTGAGCCATGAGTTCGGATTCGAAGCTCCAGGTGTAAAAATCCTTTCCGTCAAAGGGCTTGGTTAGTCCTGAGCTTCGCGGTCGAGAAGAATTTGCTCTGCATTGACGCCATTGCTTCGTAATGTGTTTGTTGTGCTTGTGCAGATCCTTGAGCTCCGCGATTGTCGAAGGTAAAGAATCGCTCGGACCCAGCTCCTTGAGGATCGTGAGGTCTTCGGGCGTAACAAGAGCCGTCAATGCTCATTGTTTGGTGGCTCTCCAGGGCGCTGATGCAGGAGATGAGCTGCTCGAGGAGAACTGAATCTACGGTCATTGTTGTAGAAAAGACATTGGTGGAGGGATGTACTATATTTTCTCCAGCCTCTCCGCAGTCTGCGCCTGGCACAGGGCTGACGTTTCAAATAGAGGCACCCTTAATGTACCCCCCCCCCCCCCCCCCCCCCCAAAAAAAAGACACTCTGAAGGCACTTTGACCAGAAACGAGGCACTCTGATTGGTCAGTGTTCTGAAGTCAGGAAGTCTGACCATTCAGGGTTGGCCGGGTCAACATCAGACATCAACCTCATGTAGCACTGTTGCCCAATTTCTTGTGCTGACGCATTCCATGTGCTGCGCCGCGTGACTCAGCTAAGCAAGCGCCGTCAGAGCAGATTCTGCTCGGTAAAAACCGTGTCTTCATTCGCGAGCAAGCGTTGGTTGTACGAACTGCATTGAACGTGCCAAATGGGATGGACAGCAATACACGCAGCGAGCTGAACTGTAGCAGCAGGTGCATTGCTTTGGGACACAAGAACATGCAAGTGGCGCACGAAATTTCTACCCATCTACGCCTTGTGCGAAGCAACAGCCACCCTTTTGCATCGAGTCAAAAATTAAGTTCACACGATTTGGCGCGAAGAACCGAATCGCGAAACAACGATTTCACGGGTGGCGGTATGTCCTCTTGCACCGATTCGCCGTGCGGTTCGCGAATCCGTTGTGCAATCCGCTAAAAACGGCCTTTTTGACTAGTTAAATATGTCGCTTCGGTTAGCCGAAGCAAATTAACCTCGGATGGGTATTAGTGACTAAAAAGTGTACTCACGTGTCCTGGCTGGTGCATTGCACGTGCTCACTTGCTGAAGGTGGGTGTATCGGAACGAAGTTTCTAGGAAGCTTCGTCTCGATAGACTCGCATTCAGGGCCCAAAGAACGTATACTCTGTAGAGACAGACTCCAAAAACAACTAACACTGGAGCCTATTGCACTGAATCAGGGGCCATAAAACAATAAGTCTGAGGCTCTCAGTGATGAAAATTGGACTACTCTGGAAATACATTTTTCACAAACTAGATGGTCTGATTCGTCAGACTAAACTGGGGCTCCTGTGCGCCTTGCACTAGTTTTAGGAGCCCCAAAATTTACAGCAACTCCCAAGGCACACATGCTGTCTCGCCAATAGCTGGGCAGCACGCACCTAGAGTCACCCGATATTTACATACGTCGTCGCGTTACTCACACGGAACGTGACAGTCAAACGAGTGCTTCACCACGCTACCCCACGTTTAGCGCGTGTATTCACCCGCGCTCTCCCTCGCCACCCGCGCCCGCCCTCGTCACTTGCGCCTGCCCTCGTCACTCGCGCCTGCCCTCGTCACTCGCGCCTGCCCTCGTCACTCGCGCCTGCCCTCGTCACTCGCGCCTGTCCACGTCACTCGCGCTTGCCCGGGATTCCGTGCTTCTGCTCGTCATCCGTTTCCCTTTGTCGCGCGCATTTCCGCCAGTCACGCACGCGCCTTCACGTCACGGTCGCTTCCCCTCGATTCGCCCTCTCCTCCCGCGCGTTTCAACTCGTTACCCGCTATCCTCCCACGCGCGTCACGTGCGCTTCCCTTCGGCAGACGCCCTGCTCCCCTCGTCACGCGCTCAATCATTCAGTCGCGGTCTTCCGTAGATCAATAGCTGAAGCCGACGTCACGCGCATATGCCGTTGCCCCAGTTGCTGCTGCCTGGCCCTCCCCTCTTGTCGTCGCCTCCGCCACCCCAATTGGATGGCGTTTGTCCTTATCGCCAACCCCTACCCACGTCGCCATCGGCACCATCGTGTGTAGCATCTCCCTCATACGCCCTTGCTCCGTCCAGCCGCAGTGAGTGCCTACTGATGTGATGGGCAGAGAAGGAGGGACAGAGGGGGATGACCAGCTGAGGGGGGGATGGTGTCACATTGAAAGCTTGATTGATGGGCGGTGGACAGGAAGGGAACGGGCTGGGGAGATAGGAAGGTCAGAAGGATAAGGACAAGGGGGAGAGGTGGAAGGACAAAGGGGGAGAGACAGAGGGGGGAGGAACAGGGGGGAGGGCAGAGGAGGAGAGACAGAGGGGGAAGGACACAGGTGGATATACAGAGGGCAAAGGGACGAGAGGGAGAGACAAAATGGGAAGGATGGAGGGGGAGGGAGGGGGAAGGGCAGAGGGTGAGAGCCAGAGGTGAGAGCGGGTTTACCGCCCAATCTATTGTGGTTTGCCTCACCTGCTTCCCCCCTCCCTCCTCCCTAGCTTCCCCCCTCCCTCCTCCCTGCTTCCCCCCTCCCTTCCCCCTGCTTCCCCCCTCCCTCCTTCCTGCTTCTCCCCTCCCTCCGCCCTGCTTCCCCCCACCCTCATAGAGGTGAGCGTCATGCACCAGGTGAGCCTTAGCTTTCTCCATATGCAACCCCTCTACCTCGATTCAACCATCTTGCTTGTCCCTCCCCATGTACCTCTCCAATCCCTCCCCATGTACCTCTCCAATCCCTCCCCATGTACCTCTCCAATCCCTCCCCATGTACCTCTCCAATCCCTCCCCATGTACCTCTCCAATCCCTCCCCATGTACCTCTCCAATCCCTCCCCATGTACCTCTCCAATCCCTCCCCATGTACCTCTCCAATCCCTCCCCATGTACCTCTCCAATCCCTCCCCATGTACCTCTCCAATCCCTCCCCATGTACCTCTCCAATCCCTCCCCATGTACCTCTCCAATCCCTCCCCATGTACCTCTCCAATCCCTCCCCATGTACCTCTCCAATCCCTCCCCATGTACCTCTCCAATCCCTCCCCATGTACCTCTCCAATCCCTCCCCATGTACCTCTCCAATCCCTCCCCATGTGCCTCTCCAATCCCTCCCCATGTGCCTCTCCAATCCCTCCCCATGTACCTCTCCAATCCCTCCCCATGTACCTCTCCAATCCCTCCCCATGAGCCTCTTCTCCCCCTCCCCATGTGCCTTTCCTCTTCATCCCACGCACAAGGGGGCAGCGCAGCAGAGTTGGGAACAAGCTCATTTTCTATTTACCCCCTCTTCCTGCCTCCACCCGACTCCTTGCAGGGCTATTTGGCGTTCATTCACATCCGGAAGGAGGAGGGTGGGCGCAGGTGCAACTAGGGGGCAGCGCAGCAGACTTTGGAACGAGCTCACGTTCCCCATGCCCCGTGCTCTCTCGACTTCCCTTCTTATTCCAGACCTATCTGGATTGCATTCACATTAGCAAGGAGAAGGGTGGGCGCATGTGCATGTTTATGCTTACACAAGCAGGAGGACCATAGCTCCACACAGATGGCGACAGCACTGGTTGCTAAAGGTGTTGGCATTAGCACTGATTGTCACATGCTGGTTGAACAGAGGCAGTTCATAAGGCTAACTCCATCCTCACTTCCAACTGCCTAAATTGTCTATGAATACTATAATATGTGCAAGCGGTCATTCAATGTGTCGCTATGCAGATTGTTACGAACGTAGATGCATCCTAGCATGACCAGGTTTAGGACAGAACGGGAAAGACCACTAAATGCACTCAAGCATGGCATGTTGAAGACCACAGGTGCATCATGGGGAAGTAAACACAACCTATTCACTCATCCTGACCTGCCACCCATAGCTCCACTTCCTCCCCATCGTAACGGCCTTCTATCCACCACTCATCACCACTGTCGCTCCACTCCCCCGCATCTCTTATCACTGCGTTTGCCGCATCCTCCTCCTGATCCGATGGGGTTTCATCCACATCCCTTTCACAGTGGTAACCTGCAATTAGCGCCAATGAGATGGATGGTAAGCCAGATTTTAGGACGGTGTGCCTGTCGCGCTAAGTAATCTCGGGGACAACCAGCTGGGCAAGGCAGGGGTGGGGCATGCTGGACCCCGGGGGGGGGGGGGGGGGGGGGAGGGGAAAGGGTGGGGCGGGGCATGACAGGGCAGGGCAGAGCTGCAAGGACAGGGCAGAGCCGCAAGGACACGTGACACAACTGCAAGGACAGGGCAGATCTGCAAGGACAGGGCAGATCTGCAAGGACAGGGCAGAGCTGCAAGGACAGGGCAGAGCTGCCAGGACAGGGCAGAGCTGCAAGGGCAGGGAAGAGCTGCAAGGGCAGGGCAGAGCTGCAAGGACAGGGCAGAGCTGCAAGGACAGGGCAGAGCTGCAAGGACATGGCAGAGCTGCAAGGACATGGCAGAGCCGCAAGGACACGTGACACAATTGCAAGGACAGGGCAGATCTGCAAGGACAGGGCAGAGCTGCAAGGACAGGGCAGAGCTGCCAGGACAAGGCAGAGCTGCAAGGACAGGGCAGAGCTGTCGCCCTCGCTTCCTCCCACCGTCGCCCACGCTTCCTCCCACCATCGCCCACGCTTCCCCCCACCATCGCCCACACTTTCCCCCACCGTCGCCCACGCTTTCCCCCACCTTCGCCCATGGCAGGTGGTGGTGCGGCTTTGGAGCAGAGTGTTGGGCGCACAGCCTGGGCAGCGCGTGCATGCGGGCAGCAAGGAGTGCAGTGCTGCAGGGGGCGGGTTAGGGGAGGCGGAGCGGGGGAGGCGGGGGTTAGGGAGAGAGGGTGCAGGGATCCTCCTATCCCCCTTATACCCTGCCACACTCTTACCTCCTGCCCTCCTCCCTTCCTCCGTTTTGTGGGGCCCCCACAGTCGTCCTCCTCTCCCTCTCTCTTCCACCCTTCCTCCATCTATCCCACACTCTCTGCCTCACTACCCTCTTTCCCCTTTCTGTTGCCCGTTATCCCTCCCTTCCTCCCGCCCTCCCTTCCTGCCATTCTCCCTCTCCTCATCCTCCCTCGATCCAGTCCCCCTTTCCCTTTCCATTTCCCACTCGCCCACTCCCTTCCTCACGCCAACCCTGCTCCTCCGTTCCACCCATCCTCTCATCCGCCCATCCTCTCATCCGCCCATCCTCTCATCCGCCCATCCTCTCATCCGCCCATCCACTCATCCCCCTTTCTCTCATTCGGCCATCCTCTCATCCCCCTTTCTCTCATTTGGCCATCCTCTCATCCCCCTTTCTCTTATCCGCCCATCCTCTCATCCCCCTTTCTCTCATTCGGCCATCCTCTCATCCCCCTTTCTCTCATTCGGCCATCCTCTCATCCCCCTTTCTCTCATTCGGCCATCCTCACATCCCCCTTTCTCTCATTCGGCCTTCATCCTCCCTCCCAACCCTCTGTCTCCTCCCTCACCTCCTCTCCTTCGTCACCACCTCTCCTCCCTCTTCGCCTCCCATTCCACATCTCCGCTGTGCAGATCGTGGCCTCAGCACCCGGGTTTCAAGAGAGTTTCTGTCCCCTCTTGTTCCCATCCTCACCTCCATCTGATCCTCCCATCCTCCATCCTCGTTACCTCCCTGCCACCCTTTCTCCTCCCCACCCTCCTCCCCAGCCTCTCTTCCTCCCCTCCCTTCTGCTTTTCCCCCAAGCGTCCTTCCTACCTCCCTTCCTCCCATCATCACTTCCTGTCTTCCTTCATTCCTGCATTCCTCACTTCTTCCCTTCCTCCGTTCCTCCCTTCCACTTGCCAGTTGTCATTCTTTTGCATGCTTGCTTCCCTTATACTTCAGCCACGCCACATCTGACTTCTTGGTTTGTGTTTGGACAGGTTTGCTCAGCATCTGGTGGTGATGTGATGGCTGTCTCATAGTAACACTACGTATAGCCATGCCATGTATTGGATCCTTTTTTATAATACAGGACTATGAGCCTCGGAGCAGTCATACATATGACCGATACCAAGGAGTTCAACAATTATTATATTACCATATCTGTAAATTAAGGGGAATCACTCCACTCGAGTAGGGAACAATGCTGGGGGGTGTGCGTGCAACGTTGCTTCCCGGTTTTGACTGCTACACTGCAAGCTATAATCCAGGCCGTGGTAAAGCCACATCTGGTTCCGGGCACCTGTGACTGCATTTGGGGGTATGGTGGTGAGTGAAGGGAGGCAGGGGAGGGCACGGGCGGAAGGAGGGAAGGGGATGGGGGGAAGCAGGGATGGGGAGGGGGGAAGGCAGGGGAGGGGACGGGCGGAAGGAGGGAAGCAGGGATGGAGATGGGGGGAAGCAGGGATGGAGATGGGGGGAAGCAGGGATGGAGATGGGGGGAAGCAGGGATGGAGATGGGGGGAAGCAGGGATGGAGATGGGGGGAAGCAGGGATGGAGATGGGGGGAAGCAGGGATGGAGATGGGGGGAAGCAGGGATGGAGATGGGGGGAACAGGGAAGAAGGAAAGGGTATATGTGTGGGTTGGAAAGGGGGAGTGACAAGTGTGCGAGATGGGAAGGGAGAAGGGAGGGATGGCGAGGGCAACGAGGAGTGGAAGGGAGGGCGACGGGGAAACCGAGGGCGACGGGGGGAGAGAGAGACGGGGATTGCGAGGGGACGAGTGGGAGCGAGGGTGACGAGCGGCAGGGAGGGCGACGAGACGAAGGGGGGCAACGGGCGGAAGGGAGGGAAAGAGAGCGTGAATGGGGAAATGAAGGCGACAGGAGGGGGAAATGAAGGCGACGGGAGGGGGGAGTGAAGGCGAAGGAAGGAGGAAGTGAAGGCGAAGGGAGGAGGAAGTGAAGGCAAAGGGAGGAGGAAGTGAAGGCGAAGGGAGGAGGAAGTGAAGGCGACGGGAAGGGGAAATGAAGGCGGGGGAAGAGGGGGGTGAGGGGGGGGAGGGAAGGTGACGGGGAAGAAGTGAAGGCGACGGGGGGGAAGTGAAGGCGACGGGGGGGAAGTGAAGGCGACGGGCGGAGCGAAGGCGACGGGCTGGGGTCGCAAACGAGACGAGCTGCGGAAGCGATGGCAACGACGCGGGCGACAGAGAGCGGAAGCGTGGGAAAGGAAAGCAAGTGCCGAGGGGAGGGTCACGTTTGGGCGAACGGTTGCGATTCGATTTCGCCGCGAGTTTACGCTACAGTGTAGTTGCACAATAACCTGCATTTTGACACAAAAATCTTCACGCAGCGAACACTAGCTTTGCGCGTCATCATCGAATCCGCGCCACCCACATCGTAAGGCGCATCTTATCCCTTCTGAGTGAACGCCGACGCCCCGCCCTGTCTACAGGTATGGTCTGTGCCAAATACTCTGCATGCTATCTCAAGCTGTGCACAGTTTGGTATGCTCGCGCTTTTCTAGTTGTGGGAAGGACCCCACCCGTTATGGGGAGCGAGAAACTTTGTCGCAAATTGGTTTCGCGAGTGAAAGTCTCTCGCAACCCAACCGAACCTCTCCGTGCCTGCCTCCCGAACCTAGTTCTAGCGTTGACTTCCGTTGAGTAATTCAGGTCTTGGGCTTTAAAGAGCAGGCATTGTCAGTGCATGCTTGGACATGGAAGGGCATGGCATGGCATGCTTAGTGGTAGCAAACTAGGGCATGGCACGGCATGGCATTATTGTTTTGCAAATTTTGGGTTTAGGGAGGCATAGCGCGTGGGGTGTTAGTAAAATACCTTTGGGGATTTGGATTGTTGTGGTAGGCATCGTAGTGGTTATGTGTGATGCCGAGCAAGCCTCGCACGGGTTTGAAAGCTCGCTAGATGTTCGCGTCAAACGCTTAGCGTGGGAGGCTCGACACATCACCTGCAAGCAACAAGATGGAGTGGAAAGCGCGAATTGGTGAACAGTAGACGCTGGATAGGATGTTGGTGACATGAGTAAGAGCCATACTAAGCAATAAAAAAAACGCACGTTGCGCTCCCGTGGCTTACCCAAACGACGGCGTGCGGATCCACGAGACGGGCGGCACTCTCGACCGATCCCACCTTTGCGCACTGGTGTCTTGGGCGCAAGTGCAGATGTCGTGGGCCGTCCGATCGAGGCATCGACCAGCTGCGCAGCCGTGGCTGAGGTATCCGGCGTCTTGTCAACGTCTACACTATCTTCAAATCGCAGTGTTCGTTGCCATTCCTCCATGATGCGATCGACCCAACCCCAATCCATTGGGGCAAAAATGCGCTCCTTAGATCTGCGCATTATCCTGGTCACCTGCCGAACTCTCGTGCGATAGGCGGTCACCAAACGGTCCATGCCGTGATTCAAATGAAGAACCGCGAGACCAACTCGTGCCGAGAAACTTCCCTGAAACCTAATCCGTTTTGGTGTGTATTTGACGATCAAAGAATGGAAGGACTCGTCGAGTGAACTGGATGCGCCATGCACAAACGACTTCACCTTCTCAGGGCTTAAGCGCATGGCAAACCGTTCACGAACCGCCTCGTGTGTCGACGACCCAAAATCATATATGGCATGCTTCCTGCCCCACCCCTCTCTGACGCAGCGAGGTGGAGTATCTCCTACCCCCGAGCAACAGCCGGAGTGGTCACCTGCCCAATGATTGGGTGGGCTCCCAAGCTCCCTCGCCACCTTGGCCGGGGTCATAGGATGCCCCTCTTTCTTCTTCGCACCACACCGCACCATGACGTGATAGAAATGAACGGAGAAACGTTGAGCCACGGTTTGTTCCTCCTTGCCGGAATCGATCTGATCTACACCTCGTTTCCGCTTGCGATGACCAGTCCACCGAGGTAGTCTCTCGGGCTCGCTGAAAGCATTAGGCGTCTGAACCTCAGAATCAGCTCCGCCTCCACCAAGCGCAGATGTGAATGAGAGAAAAGGATAGATGAGAAGGGATCGAGAGTATAAAGTAGCACTTACATCAACCATGCTGTTAAAGTGTACAAGGGGGTGTATGCATAACTGACTCTGTGTCGGTGTTGGCCCAAGGAATTGATCCACCGATGAAATGAGAGTTTCCGTTTGCACCCGCGTGCGCAAGCATGATGAGGGTGCTCGCCAAAGACGCCGGTCTCGCACCCTGTGTCGGATGCACATCGTAACTCCATAGCTCCCCCACCTCCTCCCACCGAACGTCAACATTCACCTCGTCCGGTGTCGTTACATCCACGGAAACCCATTCAGCTCAATCATCCTGCTCCCGCACACCAGCATCAGAAGCAACAGGCACCTCACCGTAGTTCACAGGCACCTCCACCGTACTACACTCCCCGCCCACCCGCACCACTTTTCTTAGCTCGGGATACTTCCACTTCGCCTCCTCCGCAGTCATCTTCCTGTAAACAATCGTGCCCATGTCGTCACAAACTGATTCCACCAAAGCCTCTTTCAGAGAAGCTTTCGACTCTTTCACCAACCCCCGTCCTTTCAGCCATTCCCGTAGCCCATCGACAGTCGCAAGCCATAGATCCTCAATACATTTCGCCTTGTCCACAGCCACTAGTGCACGGACCTGATCCTGAAGTTCTTTCAGAAACAGATTGTAAAGAGTCCGCTTCACATGCCACCAGTCCACCTGGTGGTTCAATCCTCTTTCGGACGCTACCCCACAAAAAGTAGACCCTTGATCAGAGATGATCCCTTCCTTCGTAAGTCCTTTCTGCGCCAGTTCATCTAACCTTTGTCGAAAGCCACTCTTTACAGCCGCACCGCAGATGTGTCGTCCACCCCTTTCTGTGTCGTGGCATAGTACATTATCTTCCTTGACGGTAAATCTAAGAACGATAATGTACACCACTCTCCTTCTCGAACATGGGACCATCGACCATCGACCACTACATATTCTGCAGGGACTTCACGCTTCAGCATCTCTTCTCATACCGCAACCATAGACTTATCAGCCTCTCTCAGTATAGCATTCCAAAGCCCATTATCATCACCAAGGTACTTATAGAACGTGCCATTCCCCGGAAGGCCGAAGTTGCGACAAAAATCCCACATTTGCTGATACCCCATTCCGGCTAAAGCAAACACACCGGCAAATTTTGATTGTAGCATTGGAGAACGCGCGCCTACACCGGTTCGTGCTCTTTCTATACGCCGGCTCGGACATGGCCAAAACTCTACGCCATGCGAGAACGCGTCACATCGCCAGAACATGCCGACCGATGCCCGTGAGAACTTCAATGATCTCAATGTCATCCTCTCACTACACGCGCGCTCATGTGAACACACCAAACGACACCCTTGGAAGAACCTAACCAGCTGCCGTGGCTCGACAAGACATAGCCGTTGCCCCTCAATATCATCGATGCTCGGAGAAGAAGGCCAGTGCTTAGGGACACTCCCACGCCCAACTGCCCGTCGGTGGCTGTTGGCAGGCCTAGTGGACAGAAAAAAAAAGGGGAGTTTGGACATGGATACTATGACATGTAAGTTATTGCACAATGACATCATGCATATTCAACCCTCACCCACTAGTCTCACCCTTGCACTGGCCGTTATGATGCCGCCATCGAACTCGGTGTGGGCGCAGCCACCGTAGCATCTCCATGCGTACTGGCAGCGCCCCCATTAGCATCCAAGCCGTCCCTCTCCACAACGCCCACGGCTGTCGCATCTGGGAGTTCGGTCCCGATGTCGTTGCCACTACCACTAAGGTTGGCCCCTGACACATAAATGGCATGATATAGGAGTGTTGTTTATTAGTCACTTCGAAGACAAGAAACCTCCATATGCATCTTCCAAATCATACCTGAATTACGTGTCGCTGCAAATGCCGCGCCACGCCTGGCGCCTCCCCATGATCGACCGGAAACATGTCGCAATCTTCCGCGCGCATCATATTGTACTAGCGGGAAGAAGTATCTAAGCCCGGCAAGGACTCGATTGGGCCTTTGTTGCAGGTCTGCCACATGCTCGAGACTTCTTTTAGCGTGTTCTTTGAAGATGCGACCGTACTCATTTCGGTGTCTTTCCACAATTGCGCCGGTATGTGTGTCGTTTGAAGAAGGATCTGTGAGGCACAGGATGTACAGGCACGTGACACATTTCACATGTTTAACACATCCAGCAGAAGGCTGCCCTTAATAGTGCATATCATGCACAATTCCAACGCCCGTCCAACCCTTGTGAAATACCTGCTGCTAGGCCCGCCGCAATGAGTCGGCTGGTCGCTTGAGGTGCAGACTCCGTCAAGAAATGAATCACATCATCCGTCGTCGCCATTGTGTCCCCAAGGTACAATGTCGAGAGCCCCACGCGGAGCACGCACAGAAGTGGCCGCATGTGGACCAAAATCTTGACTGTCCCTCTCTGGGCATCCTTACATGCCTGTAGTGCAAGATGCCCTCCCGTCCCTACACCCACCTGTGCCATATCGAAGCATGTCAGCACATGCCCCAAGGAGAGCGGGAGAGGTGCGGGGTCAGGGGTAGGGGGCCAGGGGCAAGGTTTAGGGTAACTTAGGATAAAAAAGAAATTTGCAATTGCACGCCAAGCAACACACAATGGCTGTGTGCATGGTGGTGACAGCAGGCCCAAGGCGGCACCAACATTGGCTGCTACTGCCTTGGGACAGAGCAGGTGCGTGCATGATGGTGACAGCAGGACAAAGGCAGCAGCACCATTGGTTGCTGCTGCCTTGGGATAGCACAGGTGCTTATATGGTGGTGACAGCAGGCCCAAAGCATGCTTCCCAACATTGATTGCTGCTGCCTTGGGACAACACAGGTACGTGCATGGAGGTGACTCCAAGCAGATAGGACCCCCAAGGCAGCAGCAACCGTTGTTGATGGTT